GTTTCTATTGTTGTTGTTTTAATTTTTTTTACATATCGTATGTTGTACATTGTTTCTCTGCTATTAGTATTCTAAATTATTTAGGCCCACCCGTGGTTTAGTTATTTATTTATTAGTTTCTATTGTTGTTGTTTTTTATTTATTTTACCTATCGTATCTTGTACATTGTTTCTCTGCTATTAGTATTCTAAATTATTTAGGCCTACCCGTGGTTGGGTTATTTATTAGCTTCTGTTGTAGTTGTTTTAATTTATTTTATCGATCGTATCTTGTACATTGTTTCTCTGCTATTCGTATTCTAAATTATTTAGGCCTACCTGTGGTTTGGTTATTTATTTATTTATCAGTTTCTATTGTTGTTGTTTTAATTTATTTTCCCTATTGTATCTTGTATATTGTTTCTCTGGTATTAGCATTCTAAATTATTTAGGCCTACTCGTGGTTGGGTTATTTATCAGTTTTTGTTCTTGTTGTTTTAATTTACTTTACCTATCGTATCATGTACATTATTTCTCTAGCTATTAGTATTCTAAATTATTTACGCCTACATGTAGTTGGGTTATTTATTAATTTCTGTCGTTGTTGTTTTAATTTATTTTCCCTATTGTATCTTGTATATTGTTTCTCTGGTATTAGCATTCTAAATTATTTAGGCCTACCCGTGGTTAGGGTGTTTGGTTCTACATTTTACTCTCCAGAAGGTGATTTATGTTCTTTCTTAATAACAAATTTAGGTAAATATTATTAGATGTAAACTGTTATTTTCTAACATTGTTTGGGATTTTGCAGAAACCTTTTTTCGTTACATTACAGCTACACTCCGTCACTGATGTCACACTTTGATTCAGAAAGTTCCAGACGGTCTAGTGTTAGACGGAGCTCTAACTTGAAACACAGTAACTCCGTCCCTCTGCTCGACGAACAGACATTCCCAGAACCTTTGTCAATCAGTAAAGACAGCCAGTCTTCAGTTGGTTCTGAAACACCAAAAATTGAGGACAGTGACGTTTATCAGCGGTCAGTATCTGTGCCAGTAGGCCTAAATGATACATTAGGTCAGGTCCTACCGATTCATGCCGATAGTCCTGCACGTGAACGTGCTCTTCCTTACACTTCTGAGGAGACATTAGGCGCTATTGGTTATCAGAAAAATTATCATACAGCTCAAATGTCAACGTATCAACGTTTAGCTTTGGAAAGGTATTCTATCCATGTGTCAATCAAAAACGTGTATTATCTTAATACGTTTTGATCGCAGCCTATCATAATGAATTGGGATCAGTAGGCCTACAAGTGGGCGTTTTTATTTGGGCTTTAGAATATTTTAAAATAATAGATATTAGTTTTAATCGTAGAAATGTTTTAATATCGTTCATCAAATAACTTCTAGACCAAATCATTTATCAAATGTATATTTCAATTGGTCTTTCATTTTTTCTTCTTAGCAAGCCAATAGATGGCGAGAAAGCTCCACCATCGTGCAGTCTCACCGAAACCAAAGCTGACGGTGACGAAAATGTAAACAAGCCTGTGAATGTAAGAATTTCGTAAACAATTACAGTTTTATTCATTTAAGAATTGCTATTTTGTTTGAAGTTAGTGTATTTTTTGTCTCCAGATACTTGCAATGCTAAAATATAAAGTTCAATTCCCCGCGGTAGACACTGCAGATAACATAATGTGGCTTTGTTCTAAAACAAACACAAAGAAACGACGACACGTTAATTGCCTATTATTTTTTATACTTGAAAGTTATGTACTCTTCCCTTTAATTTGGTTGGTATTAATAAAAATTCATTCGTGTCCACTGTCACCTTGTACGAGTTGCATCTTTCTAAATAAATATTGTTTGCTGCGAAAGCTTTAGTCATTTAAAACGAATCCCCGTCCAACCAAACATGCGCGCCCTTTCAGCCGTGGGGGCATTATTATGTGACGGTCAATTCCATTTTTCGTTGGTAAACGAGTAGCCCAAGACATTGCAGTGGGTGGTGATGACTAGTTCCTTCCCTCTAATCTTTCACTGCTAAATTAGGGACAGCTAGCGCAGATAGCCCTCGTGTAGCTGTGCGCAAAATTCAAACCAAATCAATCTACAAAGTAAGAATCTGCTGTACAACAACAGATAATATATTTCAGATCATTAAAGGACGACCTGGTTCAGGTTTTTCAGCGCATAATGTTCTGAACCAAACAACACATTCACTGTCTGCAACCAATTATGAAAATGTAGTAATAATAATAGAAATAAAGAACCCAACCACAGGTAGGCCTAAATAATTTGGAATACTAATAGCATAAAAACAATGTACAAAATACGATAGATACAATAAATTAAAACAACAAGAACTGAAACTAATAATTATCCCAACTACAGGTAGACCTAAATAATTTAGAATACTAATAGCAGAGAAACAATGTACAAGATACGATGAGTAAAATAAATTAAAACAACTTCAACAGAAGCTAATAAATAACCCGTTCTTGTTTGTTTGTTTTTAAATTTTGTGTCTTTTTCTTTCATACGTGGGTAAAAGTATTGTCATGGCTTTTGTTGCATTGGTCTTATATGTATGTTACAACTTGTATTTTACATACATTTTCTCCTAGGTATTGTGTATTTTTATGCTTTTCTCTCCTAGGTATTGTGTGTTTTTTTATACTTTTCTCTCCCAGGTATTGTGTATTTTTATACTGTTAAGTCCCAGGTATTGTGTATTTTTATACTTTTCAGTCCTAGGTATTGTGTGTTTTTACCCTTTTTAAGTCCCAGGTATTGTGTATTTTAATACTTTTAAGTTCTAGATATTGTGTATTTTTTATACTTTTTTTCCTAGGTATTGTGTATTTTTATACTATTAAGTCCCATGTATTGTGTATTTTTATACTTTTCAGTCCTAGGTATTGTTTGTTTTTACCCTTTTTTAAGTCCCAGGTATTGTGTATTTTAATACTTTTAAGTTCTAGATATTGTGTATTTTTTATACTTTTTTTTCCTAGGTATTGTGTATTTTTTATACTTTTCTCTCCGAGGTATTGCGTGTTTTTTATACTTTTTAGTTTTATGAAAAATGGGTATAAACGTGTGTAAAGTACACGCTGTATTTAGATAGAATATTCGGGTTAGTATCTTGTATTTGATTGACAGATGTAAACTTGTTTCAGAAGCTAACATTTTTTTAAATTCTATTTATCGATGTAAAAATTATGAAATTAGATTATCCTTTTAGTATTTGGCAAAGTTATTTTTTTGAACTACAACCCATTATGTGATAACATAAATGTTGTGATTTACATGCTGTAATTTGTCGACTATGAAAGAATATTTTACATATGCTGAGAACTAACTTCACACTCTGAACATATCATAAAAACATATATGATTAAACCTATACTAATAATGAATATTAACCACATAGTTCGATGTCCTGTATTCATGTTTAATATATGTTGACGAAGGAAGATTTAGTCCTAACAAGTATATTGGCAGAATCCTCTGATGGAACATTATGTAAACATTTTTTACATGGAAGCGTGAATCTTTTAAGATGTGTACAGGGAGTTAAAAGTTTGTTTGTTATGGATTTCGCGCAAATCTACACGAGGGCTATCTGCGCTAGCCGTCCCTAATTTAGCAGTGTAAGACTAGAGGGAAGGCAGCTAGTCATCACCACCCACCGCCAACTCTTGGGCTATTCTTTTACCAACGAATAGTGGGATTGACCGTCACATTATAACTCCCCCACCGCTGAAAGGGCGAGTATGTTTGGTGTGACGGGGATTCGAACTCGCGACCCACAGATTGCGAGTCGAGAGCCATAACCACCTGGCCATGTCGGGCCGGAGTTAAAAGAATGCAAACATTGAATGCAATACGTTAAAGGTGAAATTGTGTAATAGGAGGTTTTCCTTGTGTTTCTAGGTTGGAGACCAGATCGTTGGAATCAATGGTTATGGCATCGAGCAAGCGATACACGATGAAGTAATAATGCTACTACGAGAAAATAGTTATATCGTCCTTAAAATTAAAGTAAGTCAGCTTCGAGATGTCCAGAAATAGCACGTGATCCTATTATGAATTAATTTCGATTTAGTCTGTTTCTACATTTATTTAAAATATAATATTGTAATCGTTTCATTAGATTTTTTTTCTAAATTTATTTTTTTTAATTTAATAACAATCCACGTGCTTCGTCAAAAGGGAATGGAAATTAATGATATTTTTTCTCTCTTTTATTTTAACAGCTTTCACAGATACCTCATGGAAAAAGTGAGTAAACGTATAGCTTTGTTTTTATGATATACAGTTGCTAGAGTAGTCGTTCCACGGGTTTGCCCTCCATATTAAAACTTGAGTTCGTACATTTAAATCGGTTGTTAAACAATAAGTTTCTAAATATATCGTGACAACAATGCTCTATATTTTTTTAATGTTCGTTTCGCAGCCTCTCTTTCGCAGGATTATTGAATTTTTCCTGATCAAAATTTTATATATATATATTTACAAAGTATTTGGATTTTTAGGATGAGCCTACCCAGAAAGGTACAACTACAAAACTAAAAATATCTTCTGATGTTTTCATGTGATTATCCCTCCGTAGAGAGACATACTTTATTTCTGTTTCTATTCTATCTTCCTCTTTTTCTTCTTCCAAATACTTTTTAATCGATCGCTATTACTTCATTTCCCAATGGATTGACTTGAAACTTGGTAGAATTATACATTGGTAGAGTACTCCCAGAAACATTTTTCTTTTTTTTTAATTTAGGCTTTTTTAAGGATTGTATGGGGTCAAAGGTCAAACAACTAAAAAATATATATTTTGGGCTTCTGTGCGGTCATATTTACAGTAGTGAAGATGAAAATTGGCATGAATATAAATATTCATGCACCCAAGACATTGACATAGAAAATAGCTGGATTTGCTGGTTTTGAGAGTTTTTTTTGGGAGTCAGATCTCACAGAAAAACATAATTTTGGAGTTTTGGTAAATTACTCGGACGTATTTTGATCAATTTACATAGGATCTGGTACAAAGATACTTTTCTGCTGGTCCCACACATCGACAAACAAAAATGTTGGGCTTGCCCATTTTTAGTAATTATAAGGGGGTCCAGATGCCACAAAAAACATAATTTTAGTGTTTTTGTTTTTGTTTTTAGAATTACGCCGCTTTATTTAGTCCAATTTGTCTTTTGCTAAATTTCTCAGTTTTGGGTTTTCGTGAACTATTAATGTGTATGTCAACCAGCTGACGTAGGATTTGGTACAAAGATTCCAGCTTGTATGTCCCAAGCAGAGATATAGACAGTTTTTGATTTTCTGGTGTCAAAATTGGCAATGTTAGGAATGTGTGGCGGAGACATGTTGTATTTGCCCACGAATGTTGGCCTATTTAATGATATGAGACTTTGCATTTTAAATTTTGTATTTCATTTCCAAATTTCATGTTCCATAACCCAGCGCCCCTCAGTAGCTCAGTGATGGGCTTATAACGCCAAAAACTGGATTTCAATACCCGTGTTGGGGACAGCAGAGACAGCCCATTGTGTAGCTTTATGCTTAACGACAAACAAAGAAGCCGTAACATAGGAAAATATTCCTCCCTGATAGTTCATTTCCTTGACTTTCCCTAACCAATTTATTTCCCTGACTTTTCTAGTTTGTGGAAATCCGAAAAAAAAATCATAAACTCGACGAATGAATACTCAAAGTAGGAAAGGAAAAAGCCATGAAGGGAGTCTTGCAGATAGTGCAAGATATTTATTTCCTTCGCAATAAAAAGTTCACTAATGCAAGTTGGGTAGTACGTGGCACATTGATAGGCTTGAAACAACTACTTAAAATCTGGATTGTTTTTACTAACTTATTAACACTTGTCACGTCTCCTCAAATTAATATCCAGATAGGACGAAGATTTTAAACAATTGTTGAAAACATAATAATACTTATGTTTGCCTGAAGAAAACTTTAAAAATGTTCAAGTGAAGTATATCAATATCTTGTTTTTTCATGTAGAACAAGTTTTGATTACGGATTAAAACCATTTTCTGGACGTTTCCACTTTTGTTGCACTACTTTGTCGCTTGGTGATAGGGGGCCTGGTATGACCTGGTAGTTAGGGCGCTCGATTTGCAATCTGAGGGTCGTGGGTTCGAATCCCCATCACCGAACATGGTCGCCATTTCAGCCATGGGGGTGTTATAGTGTGACGGTCAGTTCCACCATTCGTTGGTAAAAGAGTAGCCAAAGAGTTGGTGGCAGGTGGTCTTCACTATCTATCCTCCATTTAGTCTATCACTGCTAAATTAGGGACGACTAGCACAGATAGCCCTCGTGCAGCTTTGCGCGAAATTCAAAACAAACCAAACCTAAGGTAGGTCAGCGGTAAGCTTACGGACTTACATCGGTAAATTCCAGGGTTCGATTTTCCGCCGTGGACACAGCAGATAGCCCAATGTGACTTTTCTAAAAACAATGCTTTATACAAATGTTTATAAAAATGTTATTTTTCTTTTTCTTCGCGCAGTGTTTTCTTTGTCTCTCTACG